GCCTTCTATTCATATAAGTAATTCTTTAGGTATTATAACTATAAAGTTTCTGTTTTTATGTTAAGTACATTAATTTAAGTTAATTAATTTCATACTATCATTTATGGCTCCTACTAAGAATGTGCTTAATGAACACATTAACATATTTGAATACTTTAAATAGTATAGTAAGAAGTTCCAATGTTGCTGTTGTTCTTTGAGGTTCATTTCATAAACTTAAGTCTGTTTCTATAAAAATAGAAAAAAAATATAAAAAATTGAGCTAAGTTTCAAGTGGTGCCTAGTTAAGACTAAATTTCTTCTACAAACACATTATGTTTTCTTTGGGGTGGGATCTCAGTGGAAATATAAAGTAATTGTATAAATAACAAATAGAATACTGTGAGTAAAAACTATCAACTTATGAGACATCACATCACTATTTATCAGATCTGCAAGTTTTGAAATAAATATATTTTTGATATTTATTGGGAGAAAAATACAGTCTGTAAGTAAACATGATTTTCACATGCTTTTCTTCATGATGAATTTTCAAAATAAATTATATGTATACGATATAAATTTAATAAAAAGGTATGTTTGGAAGGTACTAAAAGTCATTTATGATGATTTCTTCATCAGAAATACCAAAGTATTTGTATTTAATAACAAAAAAAAAAAAAAATTATAATATTTCCCAAACCAGGTTCTTGACATGAAAAAAACAGAAAAAAGAATTTTGAGTACACAGCAAGAAAATGTGTAGATATTAAAAATAACATTTACTTGGTGGAGTTTGGAAAACAACTTCTGATGACAGCGGTCCGTAGCCCTTCTTATTACGAGCCTGAATCTTGAAATAATATGTTGCATCTGCTGTTAGTCCTCTAAGAGTAGTTGTCATTTTATCTCCAACAACTCCTTCAACCACCCAATCAGTATCCTTTTGTGTGTTGTCTGTTGTGTAAAATATCACATAACCTGTAACAACAGAGAAATTACATTCATTAAAGTAAATCTGAGCAATTACCATACAAATAAAACACTTTTTTTTCCACCTTCAGTGATTCTATTCTTACACTATTGGTATATGGTAGAGTTGCTTTATTTTTATTGTTTAAGAAGAAGGTGTGATTTCAATGTGGACTTTAACTATAATTATACAGCAAGCTTATCTTAAACTGGATTTGCTAAGAACATTTTAAGACAGAAAGATGAGAAAGTAAATAATGCCATGATTCTAGTATTAGTAATTAAAAAAATATTCACAGATCACTATGTAAATTAACCAGACAATTTACCGGTTATGACCCCATTTGGCTGTTTTGGTGGTTGCCAGTGAAGACTAATGACTGATGAATCGTCATCCAAAGGAACAACTGTCATATCTCGAGGAGGAGTTGCTGGTGCTTGAAACATATATACACAAGTATTAATAAAAAAAAGCAAAACACTAGTTGTGTTTTTATACATAAGTAAATTATAAAACTTATTATCTAACTTAGTAAATACATTTAATTAAAAACTAAATATATCAATAATACACTTTTGGATTTCTTTATGGATTATGTGTCTTTTAAAAACAAATAAGCAAATTCATGTTTATCAATTTACTTAAAAAAATTAAGTTTTTGAAGTCACCCTGGGCAGGTACTATTTACATGAATACTAGTTTCAAAAAATTTATGTTAAATGGCTTCTTTGGTTATATATTATTCCCAATATAAAACTATAAAGTGTTTAAAATTTTGTATTTACAGAATAGGTTTCAAATTACCAGCTTCCTGAGTGGTGTTAAACACACTCATACTCCATGTGCTCTCCTGTGGGCTCAGTACAACTTTAACAGAAAACTCGTACTGGGTGTTCGGCTTCAGATTGTCTATCATGCAATTGAGATCAGTAGAATTATACAGTCTGTATCGTAAGTGGCCAGAGTATGGGTAAGGAACATATCGCACTGTGTAAAACCGACTGTCTGTGATTAACTGATTTCGAGGAAGTGTGGAATCAGTCCAATAAAGAACAACAGTAGAAGATGACAAAACAATAGCCTTCAGTCCTACAGGTGGAAGCATAGGGGTCAGTGGTTCAGGAGCTACAAGAATAAGGTCAAAAGTTAAACATCAAACCCTGTTTATATGCTTCCAAGTAACAGCTATTATTCTAGATATCTTAAGGCTTTCACTGTTGTTACAAGTTTATTATTAATATCATTGTACATATGATTCTAAATACTTTAATATGTGGATTTCTGTTCTGCACATCTGCAGATGAAAGTGTTACAGGAAAGAAAAACAGTTACAATAGCAGTTTGGAGCTGATTTAAAAACAGAAGAAAACATAATTGTACTTACTACTCTCAATCAAAGTCCGCACTGTTTCATACACTGGTCGCCCATCCCCAACTTGATTGAATGCCTTAAGACTTATTACATATTCCGAAGAAGGATCTAAAAACAACAAATATCAACTTAATCTTAATATTCAGTAAATCTAAGACTGTTTAATGTATTATAATTTACCACAGGTATTTCAAGTTTTTTGTTTTTACACTTTTGTTATAAACTTCCAAAAATAGTATATGTTTTCATGAAATAAATACTTCTATTTCAAAATTTTTCTAATAGATCTTTTACTCTTGTTCAGGGTACTTATTTATACATTTTTCACTATTAATAACAAACTTTCGTTTATGATTACTGATTTTTCTGTTGAAAACATATTTTTACATTAGACCTTTCAGTTTATCTTAGATTTTCAAAGGCTTATTTTGAATTTCTGACTTAAAACACATATTAATCTACTTACTAAGAATGGCTTCCCTTTGAAATAATACCAACATTATAATTCGTATATGAAATAAAATAAAAAAAAACGTGACATACGAAGATTTTCAATGGTGTAGTATCGTTGTTTGCCATCAAGAACTTTAGTGTACACATCTGGAAATCCAATCCCCCATCCAATTGTGTAGCCTCTGATCATAATGTTTTGATTTTGAGGTGGTGTCCAGCTCACAAAAATTGAATTTGCTTGTGGCCGTGCACGAAGACTTTTTGGATGGTCTGGTACCACCAATTCTTTAAGAAACAAAAAAACACACTGATTGAACAAAAATGATTCAAAACTTTAACATTACCCAAAATGATATCATTTTCAGGTAATTCTTTTTTATCTTATAAATATTTAGCTGGCAATAAATAACGCTCAAAGTGGACATTGCTTAGGGGTTAACATGCTCCATTTGTTCAACTGTGGGTGCATAACAAAAGTAACAAACAACCTCGTTATTCATTTAAGAATAACTTTGAGAAGTGGGTGCTGCTAACAGGTTATTCTCCCTTTGGCCAGCAGTTATATTTTAGGGACAACTATGTATGACCCTTGGGTATCTAACCCAACTTTTTAGTTTAGCCCATGTATCATATAAGGTGCCATTTAAATTTAAAATACCAAATATGATCATTTATTTAATGTTAATCAATGCCTTAAAAATTTCAGTTTGGCTTTCTCACAACCCATTTTTATCTTTACCTCCAAACTGTTTATGATACCTAAACCTTCATAGACAGTTTCTTAAACTGTTACAAATATTTCTGGATTTTATCATAATTAAGCACAATAAAATACATGCTTTTTCTAATAGTTATTATTATTTGTTCTATCGGAAGTACTGGAATGGAAGTCTCAGCTCTTTTTATATTGTTTTGATTCCTAAATAACTACCACCAGTACTTTTTTTCTGTAACCTAGTTTAAAACATATACCATATAACAATGTACAGCTGATAAGCTTTTAAAATTGTTTGGATTTAAAGTTTAAACTGAAGCACTTGCAATATTAAAGATATTACTTTCATGCTGATTTTTTTCCAAACCTTTTCCCTCGTGTATGGTTTCTCTAGATAATAAGTAATCAGAGTAGGAATGTTGTTATTCCATTAACGTGCTTTGCTAATTAGATGATGAGGCATTAAGAGAGTGACATGAGCTTGGCCCTACCTATATCAAAAGTGTTAAGAGAGTCATAGTTACTCCTACTGTTTACTCTTGCTTGGTTGGACTTCTTCATTTTGGTTTTATTTATTTGTTTGTTTGTTTGAAGTTAAGCACAAAGCTACAAAATGGGATGTCTATGCTCTGCCCACCACAGGTATCAAAACCCAGTTTCTAGTGTTGTAAGTTCTCAGACATACCCCTGTGCCACTGGGGGGATTCCTTTTGGTATTCAGTCTTGGGAAAAATTCACAATGCAGAGCACCAACAACGGCCATGGCAATGCTCTGTCATGGGTGATTACAGGATTTCTGACAGGAGGGAGGGGTTAACTCTTAGACCAGAACATAAGCTTAATGATATATGGCTCTAGTTGTAATGATTTGTGTAATTCTATAGTATATTAACTAATAAAATAAATAATATTAATAATAAAAAAATGGATAAGCCATTCCAATTCTTGTTAATGGTATAGAATAATCATTGCTTACTTAAGAGATTCCCGAGATGAGTAACAAATTCTCTACTTTTTTTTAAATTTAGAAATGGGGTTCCTAATCTGGACCCCATACCTGCCCTTGCTTGTACTAATCACAGTGAGATCTCCCCAGTCCATTTGCCTGTTACTAACTGTTTTTAATTTATCATGCTTATTTAGCATTACATCTGTACCTTAATATGGTCATTGTGGTCAGCACATTGTACTTTTATAATAAAAATGATTTATCTACTTTAAGCTGTATTATTTTACAGCTAATTTCTATGAACATTTTTAGTTACTTTTATCATGACACAGGTTTAGTAGCTGTAACTATCCAACAAACCCATGTTTTTATGGTGTGATTTGAGCTTAATAAAATAAATTTCTATAAAATTACATAACATAGTGTAATTTGTCCTGTACCATTTAAATCATTTTCAAAGGTTTCCGTCGTGAGCCAGTCAGTACTTGGACCACTGCCATTTACAGACAGCGCTGCAATCTTGATGTTGTATCGAGCTCCTCGCTTCAAACCTGGTGAAAAAAAAAAATTAAAAATTAGTGGAGTTTTCATAACATAATTAAGCATTTAATTACCAAATGTTTAATAAAGGAAATCTAAACCTATTAAAAAAGCTGTTTCTATTCAAACTGTTGCAAACCTAAGATGTAGTTGCTAATATACAAAATTTTGAAATATCTGATACTTGAGTAGTATATTCAATCCTTTGATGTAGGTCCTAAAATTACACTGATATAAATATAAGTTTGTGAGACCTGTCATGGAGAATTACCAATTGTTTTATAAATTAACAAAATTAATTTAGAAACTGAATTAATAAATTTACGTGGTCGGACTATATGAACATATATAAATGCAACCAGTGTTCCTAATTCCATTTTTTACTCTAAGATAACTATGTTATAAGTACACACACAATTGATTGTATAATATTTTGGAAGCATAATTGGTATTTTACACTAATTATCACATAAAAAACTTTGGTAAATGACATATGTACACACACACAAATTTGTTATGGGGTCTATCACAAAAAAGGTTAAATATAAACTGGGGTTTTTACATAAGAATAAAATAAAAATGTATAAAATTGATTCTTCAATGAAGTTTAACTCCTTAAACCCAAACAGATGCTGTCAGCATCCAGCTGAAAATCCCGATTTACCCATTAGACAGTGACAGCTTCCGATAACACTTATGTCTCTTTGGCTGAAAACTAATCCAAACCATATTATTAACCACCTTTTATCAATAGATCAGAAATTTTATAAGGCATGGTGATAATTATTAGGGCATCATAAAAAAAATTCCAGCAGAATTATGGGTTTAGAGTTAAGCAATGAATCATCTCCTGTGATTTATATAGCTCAAATTAAGAGTTTTGCAAAAACACAAAAACATCTGGGCTATTAACACTGACAATTACTGTAGGATTTATTAATCAGAATAGCTCTGAATACCCAGTTGGACTAATAATACAAAGTCTGTCATTGCAAGTACTTCGTCTTTACTGACGTTCATAATTAACAAAATTCTAATTGGCAAACGACACTTGAAAACTTACTTGCATTTTACAAGCACAGAATGCTGTATATATATTTTATAGAAGGTACAGTGCAGTTGACTAATTTTCCCATTCTTGGTCTACCCACAACTAAAAGCGTTATTCCGTGTATCATGTTAAAAGGTATTATTATATCTCAACTAAAATGGTTCTTAATAGTCTGTAATAACAATAATTTTTTTATGGATAATGTTCTATGATTAAAAAATAAACTGAAAGATAACGGTTATAAAAACAGGCAATTAATGAAATACCTTACTTTACTTTTTAATAAATACAAAAATATTTTAGAAACTAAACTATCGATTATGGAAAATATCTTTTAAAAATAACTAATATATAGAGGGAGTTAGTTATTTTAGCTTATAAGTGGCTAACAGCAATTTTTCAAGTAATTTTATTCTTTATAACCGGGACAGAAAGACTTGAATAAATCTTCAGGAGAAAGGGAGGAGGTTGGGAGTAAGAACTATATAAGAACTTTTAAGATAGAGTGTATAGTTATATTTAGTATCTTATAGTTCTATTCAATATCTTGTAGTTCTATTTAATATCTTTTTGTAAGGGTGGAGGTTGGGAGTTTAATTAGTAGAAATATTAAGGTGGTTTCATTTTAATTCATTTCTACTTGAAGAAATTTAAGGGTAACTTCCTTCCCACAACTGGCTATAGACAGTGAAAGGCAGAGAAGCTGAGATGTTGTGGGTGTAAACACTCAGCTTCGTACCCTTATTTGATTGATTTTTTAATGATTTTCCATAATAGCTAACTAGACTGACATCAGCATTTGGATTTTGTGTGACAGATGGGATATCCCCAACACATTTGGGTGCTATTACCACAGATACTGTCCATTATGACAATAAGTTGACAACCTGGACCGATAATGGTATTGCAATATTTAATATATATACATATATTACTATAAAATACCAAAAAAAATGTGGTTATTGTTATTGGTAATTATCAGGAACTAAACATAAAGAAGTTTTTTTCTTTAATAAACTTACCTGTTAATGCATACAATCTTCTGTTGCCATCCGTGGTTACAGTGTCTCCTCTCCGACTGCCCTTTAGCTTGTAGCGTATTTTATAACCAGTGATAATTCCATTCTGAGCTTCTTTAGGAGGAGGTTGCCATCGAACAATGATGCTCTATACCAAACATCGAAGTCTCAACTCAAATATAAATTCTTAGTGAATTTCATAATTTATATAAAATTTTTACTATGAAATCAGATACTTTCATACACGCAATATGTGAACAACAAGTTACTTATTAATTTATACATATAATTCTACTATATATGCAAATGCCACACTGGCAACATCAAGAGAATATAGGAAGAAGTAATGAAAAAATAAAAAGAGATCTGTACCTTTACGATTCACGGAGCTAGAAATGATTAAAATAAAGCAAAAAATTCTTGTAGTTTTTACTTAATTTCATATTTGTAATAAATTAACCTGTTTGCTTCTAATTAAGTTTAACATAAGTATTAATATTTTGAGGTAAGTGTCAAAACAACTTATCAAATGTTGAAATTACTGGACTAAGGGATGGATGAGGGAGGAACTATTACTCAGCTAATTGGCTATACTTTCAATTCCAGCTTAGATAAAGTTAAGCTGAATGTCTAATTGAAAAACTAAAAGCAGTTTTGTACTCACAGTAGAGCTTGCAGCTTCAACAGTCACATTTTGTGGAGTATCATCTGGAACTGTAAAAGTAAAAACAAATTATGAATCCTACAGTGAAATATGGATTGGTTTGAGTTTCATGCAAAGCTACACGATGGCTATTTGTACAGTGATAGACTAGATGGAAAGCAGCTAGTCAACACCACCCACCATCAACTCTTGAGCTATTCTTTTACCAATGAAAAAAGGGATTGACCATCACATTATAATGCCCCCACAACTGAAAGGGCAAGCATATTTGGTGACAGAGATATGACCCTGCAACCCTCAGATTGCAAGTCAAGTGCCCTAACCACCAGGTCATGCCAGGCCTGTAAAATATGAACATGAATATGATTAGTATACAATGTTTGGTGAGAGAAATTAACAGCTTGTATTTTATAAATTACTTTTTGTTTCAAAAAAGAAATTGCAATGTTTTCACCAAGCTGACCTGCCAAGTTCTAGATATAAGAAAAAAAAATCACTAATACAGATGTAAAAAAACAAAGAAACACAACAACAAGAAAGAGCAGTTGGAAAGCTATTAATGCACTTTTCAAGCTGATAATTATTGCAAATTATGAACAGAGCTACAGAAATAAATTATTATTGTTTTTTTATGTTATTACATCATGGGTATCCGTACAGTTGCCTAATAAGAGTTCTATGTAAACTGTCTCGTGTTCATTTAATTATTGTATTAAAATTTTACTACAATGATTTGTAAATTGACAAAAATACTAGCAAGTTCAGCATAAGGCATACCTGGCATATATACATCCCCTCAGCCCCCCCCCCCCAAAAAAACACACCAACAACAACAAAAAACAAATGTTGTCTCTGTAGCTTCTTTTCATAATCTCATCTCACTTAAAGTGGTCCCTTAAGTCCCTGGTCACACTAGGTTATGCCTCCCCCTTCTTAAAATCTTGGACCCACAAGTGAAAAAAGTACTTACTATCAGAGTATGTTCTGGATGTCACTTCTTCTGTGCTCACTCCTGGCCCATTCTGATTAATTGCAACAACCCAAAAACTGTACTCTGTAAATTTCTTAAGTGACTGTAGCAAGTAATTTGTATCACTTGTAGTCACTACATGCTCTTCTGATGTACCTACTTCCATGTAATACAACTTGTAGTTCTGCACTGGACCACTGTGTTTATCTGGTGGATTCCATTGTATAAATATGGATGTTGGCGAGTCTGGAGAAGCCTGTAGATTAAGTGCTGGACTTGGAACATGAACTAAAAGAAATATCCAATAATTTTTTTAAAGAGTATTTTTGCTACAACTTATTTCACCTATATGCATTACTTTCACTAAAAATAACACAAGTTTTACAGTCTATGTAATCACTTAGTGTTATAACATGTAAATGATACATACAATTTTAAAATAATGCATTATATTACATCTTTTAACCCTTCACTGTGGCTGGAACCTAAAACAAATGTCCAAATGTTTTTCTGTTTATTGCATCAACTCATCAGAGTCAATCCTATCTATAAAATAACCTGAATATTCCCCAGCTTTGGCAGTGTTTGATCCAGTGGCAGCGAGATGTCGTTGTGCAGGCCCCCTCTGACATCTTCAGGAAAACCAACACATAGAAGGCAGAAATAATTGACTTACTGTATAGAAACGTATATCGGAATGTCGATGGACCACATTAACACAAAAATTTACGATCCGATACCTTGCGTAGGAATTTTAAAAGCAAGAATCCATATGTATACCAGCTGCAGTGAATGTGTTGAAAAACAAGAGGTCATCCAGTAAATATTAAGGAGATATTTTGCTTATAATATATAATCTTGTACTGATATAAAATTCTTATTGTAGTATTTTTAAAAATTTTGTCCGACTAAGAAGGTAATAGAATAACTTCTGTGAATACATCTCATTCTTAAGACGTTATGCTGAATGACTGACAATTTTCACACAAAATACTGCTTGATACACTACAACAGCTTGATATTAGTCTTTTACCTTCACGGCTAAGATATCGTGTAAAATCGATATTCAACCAGTGTCAGAGTAATTCCACAGTACGTTAGTGATAAAAGTAAGGGACAAGTCTAAATTTTGAGCAAAATATTCAAGGATGGAAATAAAATTCACCTTCTGGATGAGTCTGTACTGTAATTTCTTCAGAGCTTTCACCGGGTCCATGCTGATTGTACGTCACAACTCGTACAATGTAGTTTGTTGAAGGTTGAAGCCCTTGTATGCTTACTTCTTCCAACCTTGGTCTTGTTGTGTTTATAACTCGCTCCCTAGATGGTAAGTGCAGTGTTTAAGTATGCTTTCAGACTTGATGAAGGTTTTGGCGTAGGAGTGATGGTTTGCCAAAACAGATATTTTAATATAAGAAGGGTACAAATACAAAGTTTCTCATAATTCTTGTACTGTATCAGATAAAGAACTTTTTAAGTTTAATTAAATAACATATCATTTTCATTAATAATGTATATCATGCATGTATACGAGGGGGGAGGGGTCAAGAGGGTTTTGCCAAACCCCCTATTTTTATGATGTAAGAAAATTATGTCTATACGCTTATGATATCTAACATTTTCTACATAGTCTACATTCTTCTGATGAAGCATTATCATTTTTTGGCTTGAAACAGTCACATGCTCCCAGACCTTTGTAGCATTAACATACTTTGCACAATGTGTTGGCTTTTGATCTCAAAAGTTAGAACCCCCCCCCCCCCCTTCAAACATTCTGTGTACAGACCTGTACATAATTCTATAACAGTAAAACATCTGATCAGGTCTATATGTATTAAACAGTTCATGAAGAAGATATGATGGAAAAAAACTATAAAGTAAAAGAATAGCTTCGTCTTCAGGAACTTAATGGTTCTCATTAGTAACTCCAACGATATTCTAGTAAAACATTCTCTAAAATGAAATATTTTATAAATAACCACACACACTAATATAAAAACAGTGGAGTAAGTGTAGAACTAGAAATTTGATTAACAGAATGACAAGTTCCATACATTCTACAAAGCTTTTTTTGATGAGTTCTAGAGCTGTGGTTCTTAACCTACTCTTAACTGGAGATCACTAGACGACAATGAGTATTCTAAAGGAAGTCTGAGAATGGAAAGATTGAGTTTCCCTAGTTTCTATATTATAGTTTAAAGAAGGAAAAGAAAAGGAGAAAGTTTGATTAAAACTGAAATAAAAATAATTTTTAATTTGAAAATTTCATTCTTTATATATCAGTGATGCTTTTACATACTGTGGATCATCTTCTGCATATAGACCTATCTGAATATGGGGGTCTACACGATTGTCTTTGGTTCAGGAAGAAGTCCATGTGTGTGTGTGTGTTTGAGAACCACTTTTCTAGACTAGTTAGTTGTTTTACCCTCTCTCTCTACATAGATTTAAAGCACACGTCTCTTTAGCAGCTAGTAATACAATTATATTAAAAAGATTTATTCAAATATTACAAAAGGCACACCCCCCCCCCCTTTTTTTAAGCGAGTCACATAATTTTAAAAATATTATACTGAAATCAATGCAGGAAAAAAAAAGTTATTTGGTTGAATTTAACACATTCTTGAATTGTTAACTTTCTAAATAATTATATCTCACCTTTTAGATGAGCCATCTTTATAATACACAGAGTATGCAAAGATGGCACCGTTTGTTTTTACTGGTTCCTTCCAGGAGAGGGTGATGAACCGGGTGGATATAATCACTGCTGACAATTGACGTGGAGCAGAGGGTCTATCTTTATTTTTGGGGAGGTCTCCTGAGTTGTTTGAATGAAAGACAGTAACAGAGCCATGGGTTGTGGGACGAGGAGATTCTACATATTAGTTTTGTTAAAGGACATATGAAGTCCATTGATAAAACAAGTGTTATTCATGTTGGATTTTATGCATATTTACAGAAACAAATGGAAAATTAGTTGCATGAAATTGTTAGACACAATGTGGGAAAATCATAGAAAGTTTTCCCACAGGATTTACAAAATAAAAACAAAATTGTAAAAAAGAGTATATATATAAAAGTATTTCATATGAGTAAAGATTTACAATTTTGCACACAAATCAAGAATGAAAGCATAAATTTTGTATTAGTTTATAAAGTCATACACAAGAGGATTGAAGAAAATATTGGATTAATGTAGGAGAAAAAGAGAAAAAAACAATTTATTAGTCATGCTATATCAAATAACTGTACAATTCTTATCACAATCTACAACCTCATCTTAATTTCTAGTTTACATATGAATCTATTCAGATTTTCACTTAAAATTACCAATTTCTTTACACGAATATCTAGCTTTAGATAAGAAACTTGCAAGACTACAGTATATTTTCAAATCACAGATTTGGATGCAAGTTTCAAAATATGTCCTAGCATTTATTTCAACTGTACTGAAGAAACAAGGGAATTTCAACAAGAAACGATCTAAAAACAATAACACAAACATTTTTTAAAAACTATATTCAAGAAGTATAAATAGCCCTCACTAATCAAAAAAGTTATATTTTAATATATTATGATTGTACTTCTTTCCACATTCAATCATGTTGAACAAAAAATGCCTAGTTTTTTCATAAATTACTTAACTGAGAAAATTTGATATTATAAGATTTGTTTGTTTGTAGTTAACCATAAAGCTACACAATGGGCTATTTGTGCTCTGCCCACCATGGGTATCGAAACCCAGTTTCTAGTGTTGTAAGTTTGCAGACGTACCATTGTACCATTGGGGGGTGATATTAAAAGAATCTATACGTTATATAAAGTTTGGTGAGATCCAAATTAATTAATCTTATTGAGCAATATGGCATTAAAACAAAATGGTTTGAAACTGTTCATTACATATGTTAAAAAAAAAGAATACACATCTCAGGGTAAAATATGATACAGAAAATACTGAGAAATTTATATCAAATATATATATAATTTTTTTTTATCGAGCATAATCAAGAAGGAATGGAATACAAATCTATTTAGTAGTCAACAGCATAACTTTTATTTTCATCAGTGCAAAAATGTTTTCAATCTAGGGAGTGAAGACAGGAAAAGGAGTTTAGATCCTGAAACAAATTTTCATTGTGCAAGTCACTCAGGTTGCAATGAAGAAAAAATAATATTCTTTTTTAAATTATCAAGAACTTTTTAAAACTAAATTTGCCATCTCACAATAATAATTTGAATTAAGAAGGTAGGAATTTCTAGATCAGAAAATACAGAAAATTTGTTCATTTTGTGTCTACTGACAAATACTTTTTCTTTTTTTTTCCTGAACTTAATAATCAAGGCATATCGTTGTGTCAGTTTTAAAAAGAAGGTGGATTAATGAAAATAAATTTTCAGATTGAGGTTGTAAACAATAAAAAAACAAAAAAGTGATACCGAAAATACCTAATCCTTCTTCACAGATTATCATACATAAATATTTATATAATTTTTTACAGAAAACTGCATATTTATGTTGCACATTTGCTCCAATGTTTATTGAAAACTTCACAGGACTTTGTTTCATCACAGCATGTATCCATACAATAATTAAGAGTAATGAATATAAGTAGAAAAAATGCACCAACTTGTACCTGGGTTTAAGATTATAAGCTGAGCAGATGCCTGCACATTTCCTGCAGGGTTTGTACCAATGCACTGATAAAGCCCCATGTCGGATCGCACTAGCCCAAGGATACGCAAGTTGTAGCCATTCACGATTTGAAAGTATTCACTCTGTATGATTACATCACCATTTTTGATCCACTGAACAGTTGGTTCTGGCTTTCCATAAATTTTGCAATCAAATTCAACATCTTCTTTCTCATAGGCATATTTGTTCTGTGGTCGTTTTATAAAGCGCGGTGGAACTTTTTATGAAACAAAAAGAGAGAAAACACTTAAAGGCAGATGTATGGTGTTTTATAGCAGAAAATAAAATAAATTCAGATACTAAATGCTTCACCTATACATTCAATACTTAAATTGTTTCATTCTAAACTTTACAACGTGTAAATCTCTTAAGATTTTATACAATGCATCATTATCATGCAACATGGCAATCTAACTAAAACAAAGATACAAGATATCTAAACTGATATGATATTATTTACCTCTAAAGCAACATAAAAAGTCATACACATATTTGCATAAACAACACCCTTTACACCAACATTTAACCATGCAATTTGTACATGTTCTTTGATGAAGTACCACCTGGCAAATAATATCTCTTAACTTGCTTCTTTTCATGATTTGATAATCTAGATTTCAATGATAAACGGTTATTGGTTTAATGGCTCTTATTTCCCTGATAAAGAGGATTTTAATAATAAACACATATTGAATAGACAATTCAGTGTTCTGTGATCCTTTTTGTTTGAAATTTTACATTACACTACAGTTGAGCCACATATTAAACCCATAAAAGCTCACTAAAGCTTAACAATTTTACCAAGTATATCTTTAAAAAACAAGAAAGTGAAACTGAGATTGCAGCAATAAGAAAGGAGTTCCCAAAAATTCTCAGCAAAAGACTCCCACAGAACTTTCTGCATCCCGATTGATGCTCCGACTCAATGAATCCGTAAATACTGCATACCTCAAAAGTATCGTTTATTTTGTATATTTGTAGGACCCCATGATATTTTCCTGCAACCCCAGTTCTGGAACCAGTAAAGTATTCCGTTAAACCACCTGCCTACATACAACAGCAGTTTATAAAGATATATAACAATCAGCTAGAAACTGAACTGTATACCGCTCTCTATCTTGACCACCATAAGAAATTCCTTTTAGTTTTTGTAGAAACAACAACACAGTTAAGCAACATTTTGTCAGTTGACAATAGCTAAAATCTGTAATCATTTATGTTTTATTAATCAGAAATTCCAGATATCAGCTGAAAAAGTTACAAAATAAGTAAATTTGAGTATACTCAAGTCTGAATTTAGATGGAATGTGTAGTACAGCTCTGGTCCTAATACTGTTGTGTGCATTGTTCAGTAATAATGTATCGATCCGAAACAGATGAAGGGCAAACTGTCTTAGCTAGAACTTGGACCAAGTACCCCCATTTACACTAGCACTAAACCAATATTCTAACAAGTAAGTAATTATTGATCTAGTTCATTGCACATTCCCCTTCCCACTAACTTCAGGCATTCTCTTCCCAATTGATCTCCCACCCCCGCTGTTTTGATCCATTTGAGTGGCTTAATCTATCATCACACAAGAACTGATATATATCAAAGTAAAAATTCATATAACATGTATTTCACACTTTCACAGAAACACTTATGTCTCTTACCATAGTATACATCTCACATATTTCAATATATTGCATTTCTTAATTCACAGCTGATACAACCTCACATAAAGCCTAGTGTCTTTTCATAGTCCAAGTTGTAATGATGTAAAACAGGTAATTTCACGCTTTCACAGAAACACTTATGTCTCTTACCATAGTATACATCTCACACATTTCAATATATTGCATTTCGTAATTCACAGCTGATACAAGCTCACATAAAGCCTAGTGTCTTTTTATAGTCCAAGTTGTAATGATGTAAAACATGTAAAAAGCAATGTTCCCCCCAAAATGGTGTTCGAACACAGGGCCACAATCTCATACAAGTGTTCTAGGCCTGATGATCTACCGAGTTACTGGTGCTTCAAGTTACGCTTCACCTAGTACAATTCTGTTAGTATATCTTGAAGGACCAAGTGTTGAACAATAGGATATCCTCGCTTTTACTGTACATATTTTACATTATATGCACAGGAACAAAAAATTTTATTGTCAGGGTTTTAAATATGAGTGGGCTAAGGGTTCTTCTACAGTAGATGTCTGTGACTTGCTGGCAATAAATTCCAACAATAAATGGACAGCATACAATCCACTTGTATTAAATTAATATATTTAAAACTAGTCAAAAGTAAGTACCAAAACTCTTTACACTATAGGAAATCAAAGTTTTATCTAAAACTCTGAATAATTCTCTTTTCTTGTCAAAAGTTCACTCAGGCTGATTCAATTACTTTAGAATCTAACTAACAAGACAAAGTATTTTTCTCTACTCTAATCACATTAGTATCAGTGAATAATTCACTTACACTATCTTGTGGGTTACCACAGTTGTAATCTGAACTTCAAATAATTCTCTCCTTTTCATCAAAGTCCACACAAACAAGTTCAATTAGTTTAGAACACCCTTTGACAAGACAAATTATTCTCCTTATCTTTATTAAACTGGGAAACTCACTTTCAAATATTGCCTGTTATGCTGGCTAACTTCACATTTTCTTTCACTAAGTTTCTGACTGAACTACACTTCACTTCACTTGCACTTGCTTGGTTGCCTATATTTATATGTTGTACACTGAGGCCTCAAACTTTCTCTAAACTATGTGAAGAGATGATTCAGCAATACTCAGTTAAGGTAACGAAGAAAAATACCGAAGATTCGTGAAACAATGTAACGTCAATAATATTAGTAAAGCCTAGACAATTATGGAATTGCAAACACAATGTACAACTCATACACAGTTAAGCAACCAAACTTGTTATAACTATCGCCTTTAAAATAATTACTTTTAATTCTCTTGTTATGAAAAGTAAATTAAATATTAAATCACCAAATAAACAAAATAATAACACGTACACTAAACAGTCTTGTATATCCACCAGGTACAGACTAATGCTATATGATACAACTTAATCTTTCATCATATGATACAAGTTCAGTGGATTACAGGTCAGTCAGATTTCTCATAATTGCTCACAGAACTTTTTTCTGACAGTTTTGAACAAGATAACTGCATTATTGAGAAAAAGGGTGACAAGTGAATTAATTATATGTGCTTTATGTAATTAATGCTTGAAAACCCACAATTTATAGTGACCCACGAGCAGCACAGAAACATCCTCAAACTCTTAGCCAACTCTTCATACGTTTTATTATTAGCTTTCTACACAAGTAGCTTGTGAGTCTAAGGACAATAAAAGCATTAAAGTGTAGATTCAATTAAGGCAACTTGTGCAATACATTTTCAAATTAAAAATAGGATCAATGTTTATAATGCACAATACAGATTTTTATTTGACCAGTAGACAAAATTAAAAGACTCTACATGTTTTGGTAGCTTTACGCTAACATCATCAAGAGTTATCCTATTTTTGATTTTAAAAAAAGCAATAAATCATATAGCAACACTAGAAGACACAAGATTTTCAAACTACATAATGTATACTAGAGGAAGATAAACCACTGATATTGTATGATCAGGAATTCACATTATATTGTCTGAGAGTTTTAGATATTATCATAGTAGCTAACTCTGAAAGATTACCTTGTACTTCTACATTGGCACTTGCATCCTCAGAGTCAGCATGATTTTCTGCACGGCACATGTAAGTACCTTTGTCTTCTTCCTCGATATTCTCAATATGAAGATTTCCAACACCAACAGTCCGAAAACGACTATCTAAGAGACTGTAAAAGAAAAATACAAGCATCATTATTCTTTGTTGTTGCCACCTATACAGACAAAGCAGTACAGATGTTCTCAGAACTGGTAATACTTTCTAGTAAATATTATCATAGTAGCAGCAGTCTTCAGAGATAGCTACTAACACATGAACCTTCAGTTTTGTCTTCTATTAAAAAAAAAAATCTTTGGCCTTAGCATGAAACATATGATAAGCTTTAGTTATTTTACACTATCATTTAAGAAGTAACCCAGTTTCAATGATCTTCAGGTAACTAAGAAATTACCTTGTTTTTTGAATGAAGTAAAAGTTGTTGTAAAATGTGTGTAATTATTACTGTGATATTACATCATAATAAGTGTGGTTATAATTTAAATCATATGATAAGCTAGTAAAAAATGATGTTGCAATGGTCAGTTTGGTTCCTGGTAGCTCATTTCATAGGCCTATGGCATGTCAAAATTGTTAATTTTGATCTTTTAATTGAGCGCTGTGATCAGAATGTTTTGACAAAATGGTGTCTCAGTTGGATAAAATTACAAAATTTAAACATTCCCAATACAAATGATATACTTCTTTATGTAACTTCCTTTGTAAATTGTTCGTAGTTATTTTAAGTTTAATAATCAGTCTTCAGAATTAGTTTTAGCTTGAAGATTAAACTTTCAAGTAACAAACTGGAGTTTAAACCCACGACCCATAGCTATACAACACAGGTTCCCATTTATAGCATTACTTTTTAAATGACATACAACTTTTTAAGATGATCACAGGTTCCCATTTATAGCATTACTTTTTAAGAAGGCATACATCACAGGTTCCCATTTATAGCATTAATACAACACAGGTTCCCATTTATAGCATTACTTTTTAAATGACATACAAAAAAGTTATAATATGAAAACTATAACAAGCACAAAATGGTTACCAGGTTTGGTCCCTTGGAACGAGCCCTTAGTGAAAGGGTTAAATAATGCATAAAGTTAAACTTTAACCAGCCAATTTACTGGTATGAACCACAGTAATAAAATATAAGGTTTGTGTAAAGTATATGAAATGCTTTTGTCATCTCATGCATCATACCATGGTGGCTGACCTTTATTTAAGTTGTAATGAAAAATTATTGCTTGATCATGATTTAGAAATAGATGCCAGCACTAGCCACTGTTATGAAGCTCATTACAAAAAGAGAACAGTTTTTAACATTTGACATTTCGCTTGATCATTAACGAAAGAGAGTAGGTGTAGCATTTAAACTGTCACTACTAGTGGCAGACAATGTCACAAATTAATGTTTACTTTAAAATAGATTCAACCTTATGGATGCAGTTAAAAAAACATAATTGTAAAAACAGATTGAATAGACGCCCAAACGATGCCAAAAACCATGCTTACCTCCTTTCCAAACAGTAATTATCCATCTGTCTGATGGCACAAATTGTTGTGAGAAATTGACTGAACCAGTTTCAATAAATTTTAGTAGAGAAACTCAAATGGACCTTTTCAATGACCAAGTTTAAACAGATAACAATTGGATGAATGATTTGAGTTTGAGGTTGGCAGCCATTTCCATTTCACTGACTTAATGCTGCAGTTGAGAGATCTTTTGGAGAAAGGAGGTCAGTAGCAAAATACATTAAACCAATTGTAAACACAAGTAATGTTTGGTGCTGTATATATCACAGGTTCCCATTTATAGCATTACTTTTTAAATGACAATACAGTACGCATACCTTCACGAAATTTGGCAGATTACTATCAAACATAACAAGGCTTTTGCACAGAATATCAGATTTCTTAATTAAAGATCTGTTCTTGTATTTTTTCTTTTCAAATGCTAATTATCCTACATGGAAAGTAATTCTGATTTTAAGACTAAAAATACCTTTTATGCATCAGAAAATTGTCAAATTTCATTTGCAAAATCTTTATAATCTCGAAATAAAATCCAGATAAATATCAAACGTTTGATTTAGAAAAAACTAAATTTTATCTGTTATTTTCTCTAACTTATCTCTGTATGGGTTTGGTCAAACTGACCGACCTAATAACCACCATAAAAAATTTGAAAATGAGACTTAAGTTATGCATTTTTTTTTCTAGAATGTCTACAAATTGTAACATGAAATAGCTTAAATCTCATAACATTATACATCTACATATATTTATTACTTTTACTTCATTGACCTTTCAACGGTGTCTGACTAACATTACAGAAGCTGAAATCACAGTGCACATGCAATTCATGTTACCATATCCGATAGCATAATACTGGCATTTACAAAGTGATCTGTTTTGGCATTGTTCTAGTAGATCAGTATTTTGTAAAATACAGTCAAATTTCAGTTATAATACATTACATATGTATATATATTTTTACTATCTACAAATAAATTCTTAAATTTCAGTTATTTTTCTTAAAACATAGAACAGTAAATAAAGAAATATAGAAAACACCAAACCCTATTATTTATGATTGTGAACAAGTTTGTACCTGTTTGCTATAACTTGCACGCTAAGCCTTGTCGATTTCGCACGTAGAGGACGTGTATAACAAAATAACTTTTTAGGTTTTTATATATGCATTTTGAAATAACAAAAAATTACAAATTTCTCTATAATATCACAGAATTCCACTGTAATTTATCAGGCTGACTAAATAAGCTTTATTTTGGCCTAAAAAAATATTGTTTTTTTGAAAATCATTTTCTCTTACCCCATCCTTCCGAAACTGGGAACAAAAAAAGATTAATCTTGGGAAACAGATACCTTGAATAGACTGAGAAAATCATGTGGTGGAAATTCTGAGCTTTTGATTGGTTAGAAATACATGATAAAGTAAAGCCGGGTATACGTAAGCAAGTATTTCAAAAAATGGAAGAGGTGGGCAGGGCAACTGTATTTGATTCGCTAAATATAATCATATCTCAGTAAATAGAAAGGATAGGAGGTTCTTATAAATGTAAAAAAAATCACAACCTATACCTTCAGAATGTAATTTTATTAGCTCAATATTTCACTATTACAGCCTCGTCAGGAGCTATCAATATTCTACAAGTTTCCTAATCCAGTTAAATCTAAATTGGAACACTGTCATTTGAAAATCGAACATAGATATGTAGGAGGTTCTTATTTTATATTCTAGCTTGTAAATATCAATAATTTAAGTTTCTAATTCATAAGAAACTATGGACATAACAAACAACTAATTTGAACCAATGCTGCATTCAACATATCACCCGACACACAAAAATTCAAATTTAGGAATTTTGTTTTAATATTTACTTTTAAATCATGAAATTAACTAATGTATAATGCTAAAATTTAATTATAATCTACAATTTGATACCAAACTTATTGACATACATTCATAAAACAGTAGTTCAATAAAATTTTGAATTTAAGTCTACAAACACGATGACATGACCCTTGACTCCTGACCATAGGAAAGCTCATAGTGATAGGGTTAATAGTACTTAATTTTGGTCTTGTTAAATTAGGAGAAATGTAAAGATATATATATATATGAATACATACTAGTTTTTATCCACTACTTTCATTCTGACTACAAACAATAAACCCTATCAGAGAAAGGAAAATATTTTTAATTACACGATTTTTATGTATCCAGCACGTTGAATACTGACTAACATAAATTTAATTATTTTTTTGGTAGGAAAGAGGTAATTATAGGAGAATGAAGAGATTAAATTTCAATTTGACTTCTACTTCCAACGTCTAAAGATTGTTGAGAAAACTATACTCCAATAATGAGCTCTCTACAGCAACTGCACACCACTATTGGCATGGCTATCAATTAAAAACTCTCTTTGTGTGTCTTCTCGTTTTTACATGCATACAAAAACTTCTCAAGAAAACGAAGAAAGAATAGAGAAATTGTACATTGTTATATGGAACAAAATAGTTAACTTTTCCAAAAAACATTCATTCATAAATTATCCATATTGGAGGATAGAACTCTTGGTCTTATTTCATTAAGATAAAAATGAAAGCTGAGGATCAACATGAAAAAGCTTAGGTTAAATAAAGTTCCTTAGAACATTTATAGTAAGAATCTTGTGATAAGATACGAATTAAAGAGATTAAGTATTTATCTTTTAGAAACTGGTGAGGCATATATCATAGAAAAATATTAAACATCTAGAAAACCTAAAAAATAAAACTGACACTTACGCCAGATCAATAGTGACACCATTTTTCAGCCACGTTATCCGAGGTCGAGGGTTTCCATTAGCTGCACAGTCTAATGTTATATTATCTCCTTCTGTTGCAATAATATCCTTTGGAGTTGCAATGAACCTAGGAGAAGCTATTTTATTGGCTTCACCTACACACAATAAGGAAAAAGACATCATCAGGCCCTAACAATGAAAAGCATGAATTTGTCAAAGAAATCTTTTGTATGATCTTGGAAAAGAACCCCAAAAAACTGAAGTTATTTTTATATCATATGATTTTAACATTTATTCCTCAGGTCAAAATATACATTTCACTGACATACTTCTGAGTTTTCCATTTATATAGAAAAGTAGCCCTAAAGGCCTGTCAGTTTCAGAAAAGAAACAGTTTAAAAGAAATATATATATATATATCATTTTCACTATGCAAAATGAATTTAACCTAATATTTTATGACAAATTTTGATTTTAGGTTGCATCAAAATGCAAAAGAACATGGAGAGATGTATAAATATACCTTTAAATTTATAAATGGCTTCACATTCAGTATATATATTGATCTTGCATGTAAAGTGCGTTTGAACAAAGGATATGTATTATCTATTTATGTGATTTCTTCTTGATGCTGAAGGAAAAACCCAAGATGCACTTTTATATTTATTCAGGCTTAAATGATTCTTTTCATTTTGAAATTTTCAATTATGCATAAAAGCAGTTGGTTCAGTGTGATGTGTGAATGCCACCTTCCTACTTGTAGGTAATGGATATTAATTTGAATAAAGAACAGACTATACAAATCAGCAGTGACGAATTGTCAAAGAGACGTATTATTCACAAAAAATAACTATCATATAAAAAAAAGTTTGATCTGATTGTTGGCTAATTATTTTTCTGCCATGTAACTGTACTTGTAGATATTATAGCAAATTCTCAATAATAAATCTGTATGCCAAAAATAAACCCTAGGCGGTATACGTTAACATATAGTAGATACGTATGTATAGAATTAATACTTTTGTGTGGTAAATGAGAAAGTATTGCAGTAAAAAAATCTTGTGACCACTTTTATTATCAACTTTGTTTGCCTTCTGGAAATTCTTTGCAGAACAACACTTGTCAAAAAAAGGTCATAACTCTATATACATGTGAAGTTTTGATCACTGGTTGAATGATTCACAAAATAATGTGCATGATTATCTTGTTAGGGAAAAGTATTTTGGTTCTTTTCATGAAAAAGAATAATACATTAACAAATATGCTACTGAATACAGCATTCTGAAGTAAAAATTGCTACTTACATGTAAAATATGGGTGTTTGAACTGTTAGTATACTTGAAAAGATGTTTTTCACTAAAAATGTAGGAGTTACAATAAAATCAAGTACATAACATATAAAAGTATTAACAGAATCATTAGGACAGTTTGTATGAACGTAATCAATAAAGGAAGGAACAGGAGGTGTATACATGAACCAAGTGAAACTCAATGTTTAGAGAAACAAAGATAATGTATATATATATATGGGAAATTCAGATGGACTGTTTATCATGATCATAAGGCAACACAGGCAAGGACTAGTGATACATTAGATACAATCAGATCAATGGTTTGTAACACTTCTTCCTCACGGACCCCTTCAGGAACCAAATACAATTTTATGGAACCCCATACTGAGATAGCTCTAATGCAATCCATGTTGATTCTACAGTGTGTAAAAGCATCACTGACATAAATAAATTAATGAAGGCTTCAAATAAAACATTATCTTTATTTAATTAAACATTAATATTATTTCTTTATTTGAAAATATAATACAGAAACTTAATCTTTATTATCACAAACTTCTTTACAATGCCCATGGGCCCCTAGAGGTTAGCAGACCACAGGTTGAGAACCATGAACTTTGAAGGTAGGAATGACAAACAGCTGGATTGTATAACCAGTAAAATGTGTAGACTATTTATTTTATACTCAAAGTATGCTATTGTTTTAATGAAGTAGAATTATAGGAAATAAAATAATTTTGAAAACTCATTCCTACTTGTTGGAAAAAATATTATTTACATTAGAGTATACAACTATTTATACGAGACATTCACAAATCTGAACTTATTTCACCCACTTATATCATTTTTTGCAAATAACAAACATATTTGAAACACATAAGGCAAAACATTTTAAGTATCTTTATAAGACAGCAAGCTTAAATAATGGTTTATATATATATATATATATCCATATTGATTAGGAACAACTTTTCAAATAGATTTGACGACAAGGTAAGGCAATGGGTTAATGAAGATGTTAGTTGGTAAACTGATCATTTAACGATGGACTTAGGATAATGAGTGGCTTCAAATACATGTTAAAATTTTTTAACTATTTCCTAATAAGGTTTGATAAGTCATATTGAGTGTTGCTGACTTAATGAGAAGTTTTGACATAAGAGAGTTAGAAAGTGTGATCAGGATTGATAATGGATGGTTAAGGACTTGAGCCTTGATCCTATTTTTAACCATTAAGTACTCACATGGAGTCCATATGGACCCCAGTTAAATCATAATGGTTCCCAACCTGTTAAGTCTGAAAATAGACATGAAAGAAGTAAAGAATTAAATGTTTTTTTTCAAAAATTTTTAAACAATTTTTTCTTCTCTATTTATACTGGCTTGACCTAGTGTTGAGAATTAAAATGAATGTAAAGACTGACTACTGGAGAGTTAATTTCAAGAGCTAGAATAAGTGGGTAAACAACAAACATACAAGTATCAACTGTCACCAAATTGTACATGTTATAATATTTTCATCTTACCATAATTCAAGCTTACTGTTAATCTTCCACCTGAACTAACTCGAAATTTATCAACATTAGAAGCATTGCATTTGTAAATGCCAGCATCTGAGGTTTGCACTATGTCAATCTCTAAAGCACCACTTGGAAGAACTATCATGCGTGTAAGATCTAACGCTAGTGGTTGTTCATCTTTAAACCAAGTGATCTCAGGTAGTGGGATACCTTGAATAGTACAAGGAAAGTAAGCAGTCTGACCTGGGTATACAGTGACATCTTGTGGTTCTTCTTCAAACCTGAGTAAAGCTGAAACATGAGGTGTTAAAAGTTACCAATTTACACTATGCATACATGAATTCATCCATATAATGAAACTCAAAGATTCTTTGCTCAATTATTTTTCATTACTTTTCTATCTTAACCGTAACTTTAAGTAGATCCACATGAATGTGTATACTCCTCGAAGTAACAACCAAAATTGTGTAACTAATGAATTTCCCAAAATGCAAGTTACTGAACAATAAATACTTAACATATTTATTGAGCTCAACATGAATCTTAACTCTAAAATAGTCTACGATTGATTTAAAACTTGATATTAAATAACCTAAAATAAAAACCTAGTCTTACTTTTTGGGTTAAGGTATAAGGAAGAACTATTTTTAAACAGAATGTTAAAATAGTTACAAGTTTATATCCCCAACAAATTCATTTCTGCAAAATTCTTTTTTCTAAGAATTATACTTATCAAGACTTTATTATTGCACTTGAAATATGGAGCATGCGAGTGTTTGAAAAAACAATAAAAACCAGGCAAATGTCTGAATACATCCAATAAATTATATTCTCATAACATCATTTAACATATTTACTATTTTAATACAGAAACCAAATAAAGATTCAGTTTGTCCTGTATGTATACAATTAATGCCAAGCAACATATTTCATGTCTTAAACCTTTGCTGAATAGTTTCCGTCAAAAAAAATCTCAATTTAAGCTTTCACTATTTATTTAGCTTTTGTAAATAATATCAATATTAATGTTTATATACTGTTATAAAAAATGTAATCAAACATTAAACACCATGATGGTGTCTTTACTGTTCTAAATTAACATGTAAATATCTTTAGATAGCAATAAAACAGAAGTTTTGAAACTCAAAGTTATTTTGTATGATAAGTGCAATATAAAGTAAATACATTACTGTACAATCAAAATAAATAAAGTTAACTAAACAACTTACAATATATTTACATAAAAGCGTTATGGTCAGACTGGCCACACTTACATGCTACTTGTATTTTTGCTGAACGACTAACAATTGTTCCAAGATTATCAATTGTTGCCATACATTGGTAAACACCTTCATCTGGACGTTCCGTTCTACTATGATGGACATTACTGAAGTACAACGAACCATTGGGTAACAATGACCTATCAACAGAACAGACAGACTGGTTGCACTATGGATAGTTTATATCACAATAGCTGAAAACAAGCACTGCAATAACAGATGTGTTGGAAAATCAAACCTACATGGTGCAGAACAGAAAGAAAATCATGTGAATAGGCAGAAGGTGTGTGTGGCAGGTGTAATCTTACCCCATACGTTGCTTTGATATATATAGAAAACATACTTTATAATTATTACTGTATCTAAATAAAACTCCTGTTGATTTTTTTTTCTGCACAGGGACTTGAAATACCAAAGAACCACCTCATCATTATTAATTTTCTGTCCATGCCCCTGAAATATGCATGAGGTTTTAACTTTTATTCAAGAACCAGCATTTTCACCCCACTTGAGATGGTGGTAACAACAAATGAAAAGCTGTGCATCATTACATGAAATTTTAGAGGTGAATGATGTACATAAAGTCGATGTTACTGTACCTTCTTGAATCTTCAATAAATTGCAATACTGCTCCTTCCTTCTTCCAGTCGATCTTAGGAATAGGTTCCCCTTTTGCTCCACAGTTCAACAGTGCTGGGCTGTCTTTCACTACAACAGAATCAGATGGTTCAACGGTAAAGTCAAAAGTTGTGAAATCAGCTGTACCACCTGAAACATATGAAACAGATAGTCTTAGACGTTGCCTGCAAATAAAATACACACAAATAACAGATTATTTACCTAATATACAAACAACTATGAATGGTTATATTTGATAAAAAAAAATTTAAAACAATACTGGTATTCTGAAAATGTGCATCCTAGAATGTTCAAGGTTGCTGATACTATGAAATTTTTATCACTTTACATATATCAAGACATTATATTGTTTAGCATAATTATAACATGTTTTCTTGGAAGCTCTGCAAGCTGTGAATATCCAAATCAATCAATCTTTATGTAGTATACACGTTTGTTTTGGCAATTAAATTGGAAAAAAAATACCTTTGTTCTCAAAATAATAATAGAAGAACATTATTTCAGCCACTTTTACCACTGTGGCTTCATTATAATATAATGTTTTGGGACAACAAGGGACCTATTGGTCCATCTAGACTGTCCCATCCTATAAATTAGACTAAAACTATTAAATAAATAAATTAAAAAAAAAATCTGAAAGCCAGCCTCTATCATTCATACAGTTATCAAGCTTTCTTTTAAACTCATTTAAATTTACTGCCTCCACAACACTGAAGGTAACCCATTCCAAAGGCCAACCACTCTGTTTGTAAAATATAACTATCTTTGCTGAAGATGACTCATACCCTGCCAAAATTTATATTTGTGTCCCCTAGTCCTACTATTATCACTGTTAAGTATGAAAAAAGATGATGCATCAACACTATCAATTCCCTTTACAATCTTAAACACCTCAAACAGATCCCCTCTCATTCTTTTTTTCAACAGAAAACAATTTCAGAGATCTCAACCTCTCCTAGTAAGATAACCCCTCAATCCCAGGCTCCATTCCAGTAACCCTTCTCTGAGCCCTTTCCAACAATTCAATGTTCTTCCTAAAGTAAGGAGCCCAAGACTGAACACACTACTTCAAATGTGACCTAACCAATGACCTATGGCTACTAGTATTGATTAATCCTCCCCCACCCTTTCATGGTATAAATAACTTTTTCCATCTAGATCTATGAGTAAGTGTCCACTCCCAAAACAAACACATGGTTAGTTCCTGTTTAGAAAGTGAATGTTTTAAGAATTAAGTTCAGGCTGTTACTGTTAAGAGAGTAAGAGGGGTGTTTGTATTGTAGGAAACACTGTAATAATGCACTTGAGTAACCTAAAGTCTAAAGGGCATCTTGTCTGTTTATTGTAACATAATTGATATACACCAACACTACAACAGAGAAGCATCCGGTATGGAAATGCATTTTTCAATACTGTTACAATCGATAAACCTATCATACATTTCCATGGCATGAATAGCCCTGGGTCAATCACCCTGTTGTTAGTGTTAATGTTAGAAAACTAGAAGTAGAACTGTCTAGTGTCCTAACTCGAGCCTACTCAGCCTTTTCCAAATCTTAAACTTACATCTTAAAAGATCCTTCCTTCCGTTATATCTAATTTGTTAATAAATAATTGGTTTAATTTTAAGAAAAACAAATGGAACTGCTTGTGCTAAGTATTAGAATACTACCAGTACCATGCTAAACGGTAAACGCCATCTGGAATGAAATTTGAAATGTGTGGAATAGAAAAAGATATAAAATATGCAATTAAAATATACTTTGTAAGTTAGTTAAATATTGTAGCATTTCGGCCTCTGGAACGGTCAGCAGTTTGCTCCAGGTTATTTTCCCATTAGGTTTTATGAAGTTTAACACTGACTTTAATTTTAAATACGCTTTTCTTTCACTTAGTTAAAAGCTGTGAATAATCTTTAAAGATGATGCCTTCTAGTTCTATAGGATTAAGTAGCAGTTTATTTGGCCCATCAATATTTAATATTCACTTTGAACGTACACTTGCAGTGCGTAGTTGGAAATAAATATTTTTATTACGTTAATTTAAATTAAAGTACAACATTTCAATCGCTAGTGCGATCTGTGTGAAGAATGTCTATATTTAATTGAATATAACAACATTTATTTCTCAGAACCCACTGCAAGCTGTCGTTCAAAGCGAATATTAGTAGCAGTTAGTAGTAGTATTTATTGCAAGCTTCTCATATAGACCGTTGTGCATATGTTGAAGGTTACCTTGTTCGTTCCAAAACTGATTTAAAATTAAGTTGATAGTACATATCTGGCACAAGTCATAAACAATTCACAACGTGTGGTGTCTCGAAACTAGACGTGAGTGAGATAGGTAACTAAATTATTGGCATGACCCTACGCTACACCATCATCATGCCGATCACAGACCACCGAAACAACAGACTTGGGAAATTACTAGTAAGGCACTTAGCTTCTAGTACAGGGATATTGTAATATGATGTTTACCCCTCTTTAATTATTGATAAACTATTATTCAACAAATAAATAAACAAACTTTCTGCACAAACTGTTGTTTAGAACAACAACAACAAAAGGCGATAATTCTATTACATGATACCCCATCAAAATGAAATAAGCATTTCATATAATTGTATGTTGTTTGTTTGTTGGATTTCGCGCACAACTATATGAGAAATATTCGCGCTAGCTGTCCCTAACTTTGAAGTGATAGACTAGAGAGAGAGAGAGAGAGGACACTAGTTAACACCAGTCACCGCAAACTCTTGGGCTACTCTTGTCAGATCGAATAGTTGGATTTGACCGTCACTCTTTGACCTTGACGTGCACTGCCGAATTTGTTTTGACTGTTACAGAACGCGAACCATGGAATTTCTGCTCCATATTAATCACTGGGTCACGCTCGGTCTTTAATTATACATAGTGACTTCGTTGGGTCAGGATTTTGAAATTTAATCATAAAAAGAAAGATGATTTTTAAAGCTGTGACGTAAAAACCAGACCATATTTTTGTGTATATAAGTCTAAACAATTTTGTATTACGGGGGAGGGGGTGGGTATTGATTTTGTTATTGCTTGACAACTGTTATACAATGTTTGCTACAAATTTCCATTTTGTATAGAGAAGCTTTTTAGGTTTATAGTAATTTACGTGCAAGTACTAGAATATACTAACGTAAACAATTCTCCATACAATTTCTGGCTTTCTCATACGGGTATTATACGTTTCAAAGATATATAAAAAATTAATTTTGTGTTACAGAAAATAATTCACATTGCAAATCACTAATTTTATGTCCTGGTAAAAAAACAATATTTTATGTTCATTTGCTGTTTCACTGTTGTATTTATTAGTAGCCTATACGATCATTTACGTCTGATTATTAATTTGTAATACTGGTTGTAACTAATTGTAAAAAAAAAAGGATTAGTTATTACTTACTAGCTGGAGTACCCGTCCCCTGGACGGAAGTTATGTAAATTCATGGTTAATGAAACGTTGTCCTCGGACATGAAAAAGTTGCTTCCCTTATATGTAATTGTAAAAAAGGCAAAAACGCTCATAAAAACTTCAAAACACAAAATGTGAAGCCGTAAGTTTGCACGTATCTCCGCAAGGACTCAACAAACCTTCATGCCAAATTTCGTGAAAATCCATCAACAGAGGACGAAGTAGTGATAAAAAACGTCCATAAAACTGCCAAAATGAAAATCTGTATGTATCTCTCCATGGCCTCTGGAAACCTTCCTGTCCAATTTAGAGAAGATTCATCAACAGGGGGCAAAGTAGTGGTAAAAAGCGCGAAAACGCCCATAAAAACCGCAAGACTGAAAATTTGTGTATATATATATATATATCCCTCCATAGACCCACTGAACCAACATACGAAAATTGGTGAAGATTCATCCATAGGATGTGAGGTAGAGGTAAAAAAACGCCATAAAAACCGCAAAAATGAATATTTCTATGTATCTCCCTATAGACCCAATGAACCTCCATACCAAATTTGGTGAAGATCCATCTACAGGGGTGAAGTAGTGGTAAAAAACGCCCATAAACCGCAAAACCGCAAAACTGAAAATTTGTATGCACTCCCCGCATGAACCTAATGAACCTCCATACCAACTTTGGTGAAGATCCATTCACACCCTTGGGTGATCGTATAGGCTATTAAACCTGACAACGACCGATATCCGATTGCCACGACCTTACCGGAAAAACGTAATTACTCATTACGGACGCCCCACAGTGATTTGCGGTAAGTCTGAAAGCTTATAACGCTAAAAACCGAGTTTCGATACCTGTGGTGCCCGTTGTGTAGCTTTGCGCTTAGCAACAACAACAACAACAAAAAAAAACCTTTACAGACCCATGACTTTGTAAGGAATGTAGAGATTTAGAAAAACGTAACTGTAAATTAGGTAATACAAATAACCACCCCACCTACTCTCGTAAAAGTTAACAACATAATGTAGTTCCTGAATAACTTAAGGTTAAATAATCTATCGACACATCACGACGTCAAAGATTAATACAGAAACTTATAAACCCATGCTCCAAGATAAAGGTCAAATATCACCATATAAATAAATACAATATACATTGAAGAACTATGTCATAAGATAGACAAAACAACAGATAACATAGACTCTATCATAATAGGCACAGCTATTCAGACTTCATACCAAGATACCACACGCACGTATTAAAGAAATTCAATCATCGATTCACACTAATACAAAGCCTCCTAACAGTATAGACACACCTCAACGCATTGCAATCAACTTAAGTAAACAACCATTAACAGGACTTGAAGAATGTGTACTAAACTTCACACTAACAAATAACTATAGATTTAGTTGCAATACAGAAGACACAATTTTCAGCCTATCAGAAGAATTCAGAATAAAATTCAGAAAGGAATTCAGCAAACCAGAAAGCCGTGAAATTTAAACCCCTCTATAATACCATCCTATCAAACAAAGTTGTCCTCCGGAATTTGAAGAAAAAAAAATCATAACAATTCTACCAGTAGCCAAAGAGAATGTCACTGTTGTTGACGCAGAGAATAAAATTAACCAAATAAATTAGAAATAAGTTGAAATACAATCAGTTAAACAACAGCACCATTCCACACA